TGCCGGTTATTGACAATCGCACACAGGTGAGTTCATGTCTTGTCTACTTACAAATACATAAATCATCTCTGGCCTTATTGCCAATACATGCCATCGTATATATTGCGGCTCGGGTTTTGCTGATGATGAAGCTGGCTCACCTCCAACTTTTCGTTCAAAGCGATCAGCTCAACCTAAGAGCCCGCCATTCAAATTTATCCTCACGGATTCGCCTGCAAGGGATCTCGTCATCTGATCGTAAGCAGTTGATGTTCGACCCAGCATCCTGGTTTTTGGAAGCAGCTGAGTCGCAGCTCAGAGTAGCTCGATATCGAAGTCGTATCAACTTCTCGATTCGATACACACAGATTTATGCGGCATGTGAGTTCGAAGCTCTAATTTGAGGTGTCATATATATGACTCATCGGCATCTCTGGTGCGTGCCGTACGGATAACCTCAGCCGATGTCGGTACTCAACATTCATATGCGTGATTGCCATCCGGCGCAGCAGCATACTTAAGGACTGCACCAGGACTTGCATGCGCTCAAGCTTTTTTACTCCTAGTATGTCTCCAGATGCCGAAGTTCCGATTCTAATCGTACGTGATATAATAGCCCTTTACGACGACTTGCGTCTTGTTTTGCTGTTGCCGACAGCTGTGCGTATTAGGCTGGCGCGGGGCCTGCTGGGCTCGTGCTCGCGCTTGTCTTGCTCCAGAATGGAGTGTCCGTCCGGATCATCGATAAAGAACCCAATTTTAGACCAGGCCAACGCGGCGCAGGTCTCCAGGTTTGTTATGTTCTCTTTTTTTATCCGATTGTTTTTGACTCAGCTACAACTAGGCTCGGACTCTAGAGATATTCAGTCACCTTGGTATTTTGCAAGACATCCTGGCCATCGCACTTAATGGCTTTCCCAGACGCGTTTACAAGCTCCCAGGCGGGACAGATCCACTCAAGACAGTATCTATGTCTCCTTCAGATCAACCGACGCCGTCCACACCTTATGTAGGTTCATGGATGCATTGCTACATCTTCTTTTCCATGGCCCTCAATCCTTTTGGTACAATGCATAGATCAACGGTCTCCATTTGGGCCAGTACAATACAGAAGCCATTCTCCGCGCCCACTTAGAAAAGCTTGGCTGTCATGTGGAGCTTGGTGTAGAATTATGTGGTTTTGAACAGTATCCTGACGGAGTCATCGCTCACGTCATCAAGAGAGCCGGTGATAGGGAAGAATCTGGAATCATCCGTTGTCATTGGCTCGTTGGAGCCGATGGGGCCAGAGGTAAATCATGAGTGTTATTATTGTCGTCCGCATATCTCCTACACATTTCTGGTACAGGCATTGTGCGTAAGCAACTCGGTCTCACTTTCCTAGGGGAAACCAGAGAGGACGTGCATGCGGTAGTAGGTGAAATCGAAGTCAAGGGATTAGATTTCGAGGTAAGATTTGATCAATGCGTTGGCATCGGCTTATTTCTGATATACATACATTGGATAGCACTGGCATCAATGGGGGGATTTTACAACAACTTTGTGCGTTTGTTGTTGCTCAGTATTATGGATTTTATCTCACACTTCAGACCCACAGGCTGATGCTGCGACCTACTGAAAATTGCGGATTTTTTTATTTGATCACTGGAGGGAAGATCGACTATGCTGCAATTGTCGCAGATCGAGAGGCGTTGGTCCGGCACTTTTACGCAGCCACCGATCGGCACGATCTGATAGTAGGCGAAATCAAGTGGATCTCGGATTTCAGGTTAGCATGATGGCAAACAAATTGTTGCATGCAGCCATCTCTAAACTACCAATCCAATGGTGTAGACCGAACATCCGCATGGTGAACAAATTCGCAGAAGGACGAGTGTTCGTTGCGGGAGGTGAGCATATATTATCGAATGTAGCGTCAATCGCGCTGAGTTAGTTCTAAGATGCAGCTCATGTGCACAGTCCCACGGGTGGACAGGTGAGTTTTTGATACCTCGAAGACGTTTTGCTATAACGCAAGTTTTAATTACTCATAGGGATTGAATTCTAGTGTTCAGGATTCGGTGAGAATATGCATTGATAAAGATCCCAATTACAATACTAATAATGCATTATGTGTATGTAGATGAATCTCGGATGGAAACTTGCCCTCGTCGAGAAGGGCCTTTCAAAAGCTTCGCTACTGGAGACTTACACTGAAGAGCGTCTTCCGGTGATCGCGGCTATGCTACAGAAGACAACTGATATCCTTAACAAGACACTAGAGGCGAATGCAAACACTGGATCTGGTGATGACGAAGCATGGAGGCGTGGCGGTGCTCTCAAGCAGCTAGGAGTGAATTACCGCTGGAGCTCCATCGTCGTGGATGAACGCACTCCTTTCGTGGCAGAGCAGCCGGTGGACGTGTACGGAGGCTCGGAAGGAGAAGACCTTCGTGCGGGAGATCGCGCTCCGGATGCGCCTGGCCTCGAAGTCGTCAAGTCGCAGTTTGTCGAAAGCACAATTCGTAATACGACGTCACTATTTCAGATATTTCGTCCGTCGCGTCACACAGTGCTCATATTTCCCGCCATTTCTGGTGATATACCACCGCTCCTTGAGTTCCTGCGCCAGCACAACCAACAAGTCGTGCTTACTGTGCTTATCTTATCTCGAATTGCGTCGTACACCGAGGAAGTCCAAGCTGCAGACCTCGTTCTATCAGACCAACACGGTCATGCGTATGCGGGGTACGGCATCTCGTTAGGCTGTTTGACTATCGTCGCTGTCAGACCAGATGGGTCTGTAGGGGGTATACTGCTTGGCTTGGAAGGGTTGCAGCGGTATCTGTCCTGTATATTTTCTGCTGTGTAGGTTCTGGATTTGCAATTCGTTTCTTGCCAAATCGGAACGTTACCATTGCCAGTCCATTGCTATCAAGTACACTTGCCATGTCTATAACTTGAATCACCATATAGTCATTATCTCAACATACTAGGTAGGTAAGTGTGTACTACTAGCATCGAAGTGTGCCAAAAGCTTTGACAGAAACAGAAACAGCTCGGGCCAGATATGCCCATGGCGCCAGATGGGTTGAGGTGGGTATGATAAAACCGCCCTTAATCACGAAAGTATACGTTATATTGGAAAATACATCCAAGCGCGATCTTTACAGCAATGAACTTGGACGAAGAAATCATGGATCACGCGCTTTCAGCTCAGCGCTTGGTTCGGATCTCAAAGTCCCATTGGTGAGTCATTCATTTCTAACTGAAGTCCAGCTCGTACTCCCGAAATTTTACGGTGCGAGGTTACAGGATCAATCGCGAGCCCGTGCCTGTGGTGTTCTGATTGGTGCAATGCGGATCGAAGATTTAACAGCCTGAGGCTTGTAATCATCTTGACAGACTATCGTGTGGGATTTTGAATCATTTGGCCAGAATTTGATGAGTTACAGCCGCAGTACACCACCCATGCTGCTTTGGTATTTGCATATGTCGCTCGACGCGGAACTTGTGATGACAGCCGTGTCTTCAAATCTTCGAAGCTTAACTCTGAGCTTGCGCTGTCGCTATACTGGCGCCAGGGCCCGGGAATACGGTTAAGGTTGTGAGCTGTTTTCACGATCCCACCGAGGCTTTTAGCTGACATGGAGCAGCTTCTAGACCTGTCCCCTTCCGCCCTGTGTGTTTAAGGCCTAAACGTACCTGATCCTATGGTATCCATACGATGGCGTAACACAAGCTATTTTTCCAACGCTGTCGTTCGTTTCCGTCTTCACGAAAGAGCAAGAAAATGACCCATCGTAGTTTCGTCCCAGCCAGGTAGACGCCCTGGCGCAAACGGGACGAGAGTAACCCCTTATATTTTTGCTTTCGTGTTTAGACTTGCCACAATAAGTTCCTATTTTCAATGGTCCGTATCGCGACTACGTGGCGCCTATCGATGGTATGTATGACGTTAGTTTTCTAATGATGACTTAGACGTTAGCCGGTTTCCGAAGTCTGCATTCTTGGCAGAGTTGGGTAGTGCGAGGCTAATGACGCTCCACTGGTAAGCCACAGAACCTTACACCTTCGCACCGATATCGAAAATACTACTTACCACGGCCGAGGTCATCTGCGCATGCTGTGTGGGAGCTTGTGTATCGGAGCCGCGGCGGGCGGACGGCGGAAAGGTTTGAAGCATAAGAATGCATACATCGTATAAGTACTGGGAGAGCTCAGGCCCCCTCTGTATTCCCGGTTTCATTCCAGTCCGTGGCTTCTCATATGGAGACACCAGTTCTTGTGGTAAGTGGACTGTAGGTACTACGACCAATATGTGTCCTCAACTCATCTATGTGTCTAGGCTGGCGCTGGACCTACAGGACTCGTTGCTGCATTAACTCTTTGCCAAAATGGCATTCCTGTGAGGATCATCGAGAAAGAGCAGAGATCCCGTGTAGGCCAAAGAGGCGCAGGAATCATGGTGAGCACCTGCGGTCATCCATTTCTGTCATGTTACCGACACCCATCGGGCAGGCTCGCTCCTTGGAGCTTTACAATTTCTTGGGCGTCTTAGGAGACATACAAGCCAAGGCATTACCTGTGGTCCCCATGCGCATTTATAAGATGCCCGAAGGCGTCGAGCCTATTAAAACATTCCGTCTGGACGAGGCTGTCCCCCCAACGCCTGCGACACCATATGTGAGTTTCGAGTTGGATTCCTGCACGAGATCCATTTTGAGTATCGTGCTTACCAATTCGACGGAGCAGACGAATATTCTCCTGCTGGGACAAGAACACACGGAAGCCATTTTGCGTGCGCATTTGCAGAAGTACGGCTGTCACGTAGAGCTTGGCACGGAATTGCGCAGTTTTGAGCAAAAGCCAGACCATGTTACTGCTCATATCGTGAAAAGGGATGGAGACCAAGAAACGACAGAAACGATTAGCTGCCGCTGGCTGATCGGGGCTGATGGAGCAAGAGGTAATCGCGTTGCTGCGTTGATCGGAACGACTTTGATCAAGTGCGGTTTCTAGGCATTGTGCGTAAGAGCTTGAACGTTGCATTCCATGGCGAAGTGCGAAACGAGAAACACCATCTCGTCATTGGTGATCTTAAGATCCGAGGACTAGATCACGAGGTGAGCAGCGAAGTCTACCTCGGAGCAGATTTCTAACTGCGCGCAGCATTGGCATTCGTGGGGGGACATGGATTCCATATTGTGAGTAAGTTGTAATCATATCTCCAAACATCAGGCAAACCATACTCCCAGCGTCACGCTGCGTCCTACAGAAGACGACACATTTTTCTGCTTCATTGGGGGTCAGGTAGACCGCGATAAAGTGGTCGCAGATCGCGCCGAGCTGATTCGCGTCCTCCGCGTCGGCACCGGTCGCGCTGACATAGAAGTAGGCGAGGTCAAGTCTCTAACTAACTACAAGTAAGCACCATTCCACCGTCAGAAGGGTCTTCTCCACTCTGACCCTCCACAAGGCCACACCTTCGGCTGGCGGACAAATTTTTCGACGGGCGGGTATTTATCGCCGGAGGTCTGGACGTCCTCTATCATACGAAAATTCTGTGCTGATCCCACTTCGATCAGATGCTGCCCATGTCCATAGTCCCTTCGGTGCACAGGTCAGTGTTCGCAACCTAATTCTCCACTCAATTCTGATGCCATTCCGCCCAGGGGCTCAATTCGAGCATACAAGATGCGGTGCGTGCAGGTTGAACCCACCGCAAAAACCACACTCACTTCGCCAATAGTTCAATCTCTCCTGGAAGCTTTCCCTCGTGGAGAAGGGTTTAGCTAAGCCCTCCCTCCTCAACACATACGGCGAGGAACGCATTCCGGTCATCTCTGAGATGCTCAAGACGTCTAACGCGCTGTTCAACAAGGCTGCTCACGCGAAGGGTGATGGAAGCACAAGTGAAGACGCATGGAAGAGGGGCGGCGCGCTGAGCCAGCTCGGCGTCAACTATCGCTGGAGCTCCATCGTTGTGGACGAACGTGTTCACCCTGAAGATGAGCCATTGGATCCGTACGGCGTCCATCGTTGCGACACCGATATTGTGCAGGCGGGAGAGAGAGCCCCCGATGCGCCCGGCCTCGTCAAGATCGTCGCGAGCCTGGAGATCAATATTGTCAATACCAACCATCGCCAAGAGACCACGTCGCTGTTCCGCACGTTTGGCACAAGCTACCACACCGTTTTGCTCTTCAATCATTCCAACGGCCAGTTCGGCCCCACAACGGTGCTTTTGAAGATGTGTCCCTCGTGGGCTATCCGTTCGGCAATTATTTATCCACACGATAGTTCATCCTGCCCACTAGTTGACGGTATCAATCTCGCTTTCATTGACAGAGATGGGCATGCATACACAGGGTATGCAGTCGGGCGCGATATGACAATCGTCATCGTCCGGCCAGATGGTGTTGTCGGAGGCATAATGTGGGGAGCAGAGGGTCTAAAGCGATACCTTACTAGTGTCTTCACAGCGCTCGACATCGATAATTAGCCAGTAATAGGCCCCAAACAGCCCGTAAGGAATGAATATGTACTTGTAACATGTGTAGACGATAACGTGTAATCCTCTCAGCTCTCAGGCCGCAGCACAAGCAGTCTAGCAGGATGGCAGTATCTAGGCAATTGCGTGTCCAACGAGAAGTCCTTCTATGCTCGATGCTATTGGTACATAGTGCAGCACATGCATGAATCTATCGAAAGCGATCACAGCAATATATGATCCACTTCGAGGGTATCCGAAGCAGAAGGTAAGCCATGAGAGAACAGAAGAAATCGTATGGTCATGAAGAGATGATTAAGCGATGGTCTATGAGAGCCGGGGGAGCCGTCCCAGAATGGTGAATGTAGCATCAAGTGGCCGACTCCGTGACCTGGGACACGGATTGTGCATCTGTGACTTCAGATTCCACAGGCTGAACATGTGAGGCCTGAGATACAGGCCGTGTGTCTGTGGGTGAAGAAGCCGGCTGTGCATCCGTGAGCAAAGATGCTGGTCGTGTACCCGGTTGCGCAGCCATGAGCAGAGATACCAGTCGTGCATCCGTTGCCGTGGATAGCGGTCGCATGTCCGTCATCATAGATACCGGTCGCGTCCCAGGGGCAGAGTCGGTATACAAGCTGTCCTTGTATCGGGAAGGCGAAGGTGGAGCCTCGTCAATGACGATTTTGATAGTCACTTTATCGTTGTCCACATTTCCGTCTTCTGCGTAGTACACGGGCAGCTGGTCCTCGTCGCGCGGATCCAGAACATAAGACTTGGAGAATATCCGGTGCTGGGCATAAGCGAACACAGGACTGAGTTATGTCAACAAAGGTTGAGCCCAGATCGATAGATTTAATACTGTAGTACACGCACGAAAGAGCCAATGAAACCGCTAGGATGATGATAGTTGAGGTAGGCGCTTTCCAACCTTCATAATCGAGATTCTGCGATGGATAAGCATAAAGTAACTTGCGGTTGTTACAACACGTACGAGCCAGTGGGAAGGGTTTGTGTCGCACAAATACCGGAGTCCGAGGCTCAGCCCAGATTGCTTGTTCACAAGCAAATCAACACCCAACGCAAGGAAAAACGATCCAACAGACGCAGAAGCGAAGGCCTGTAGCTCACATCAGTATAGATCTGGGAAGTGACATTGTCTCTTACGCACAACTGCCAACCTCTCAAAATGAGGGACGAAGAGAAGATTGAGGAGAGCGAATGCTGCACTGAACACCCAATTTCCCCAAACCTGGTGTATCAACAGGTCGGGTCGGAAGAGGCAGATCCGCACACCCCACGAGAATCCACTGGCGATGGCGATGAGGATCACTCCGGCAAGACGGCCGTAATTGAAAAGGCCAAAGAGGAAGCCGGGAACAAAGATGCACACGGGCACAAGTGTAAGGACCCAGTCGGAAAAGGCGTCTGCAGGCTCAGTGTTGATGAAAGCCACCCATACTGAGACGGCATATTGTCATCTTTTAAACATATAATGTAGGAAGCCGCGGAACGTACAAGAGATGGTCCCAGCAAGGCCAATGGCGACTCCGGTAGTGACGCGACGGAGGAAAATTCCACAAAATGTCAGTGGTACACCCAAGAGAAGACAGTATACAATCCAGATTATTGCAACTGCCGAAAGGCCAGAACCACTCCCATCGGACGCTGTGCCCTGAGGGATGGCGCTTCCTGTCGCGGGATCCGTGACCGTAACGGTGCCGTTGCTGGCAGTACTAACACTGGGGTCTGTGCGCGGAGAGAAGTTGTATGATAATGGTGATGCGTAGGCGGAATTGACGATGGAAAGAAGGAGCCACGTCAGGGTATAAAGTACATGGCGTCGGACAGCCATGAAAAGCACTTCCTAATGGGTTATAACTCTGAAGGGCGATGGTTGCCCTGAGAGTGAAAAAAGTGCCTGGTCTGAACGCTGCAGCGGATGGCTGAGCGAGAGGCCGGTAGATAAGGAGCGTGGGGGTAAAGGAGTGACGGAGAGACAGTAACAGGACCGCGGAGACGAACGATGGAACGGGAGCCTGGAGGGCAGAAGCCCGCTGCACAAAGATACGCGAATCGACACCCACGTGATCGAGTCGGGCGCAGTAGCGGCGATAACATTGAAGAGCATTTATTTATGTATAGCTCACAGTCGTGGATGAGACTTGTGCTGAATAGACAAGGGAGTCATCCGTTGGCATCCTTGACCACAAGAGGGATGATACCCACTTGAATATCCAAAGTACCCCCAGGCTTCACTAACGCTGCTGAGTCGAAAGCTAAACTCGAAACGTGCTCTTCCGACTCTCACAAGATCAAAGACATGGTAAAACCAGATAGGAAAAGTAGACATGGCGATCAGCATCGTAGTATCAAAGTCACTGCTACCGTCGCATAACAGCCTGTAGCTTTTCGCGTCCCGATAACTTATCTTCAGCGCGGCATGGCTTCTATTTTCCATGGTTCGCGGGTGATTTGCCAGTGCATTGGATGTGCGAACCTCAAGGTCGCACGTTTACCATTCCATGGATATCGTATATCAGGTACATTGCCGAGGAAGTTAGCAGCAACTTGGTTGACTCATCGCACTGCGCAGCAGCAAAGGCTCAAAGGGCGATAAGCGTGACATGCGCACGTGTTGTGACGAGACGCGTTGCACTCGCAGTTCGCTTCCAGTGTTTGAGAGGCCAGTGGCTCGAATGGTCCTCAGCTCAGGCCCCACCCGTATCCTTCTGCTACCCAAATAGACTACTCTGTAAAAATCCCTGCAATATACACTTTGTACCCATCCGTCAGATGATGAGGTGTGTACGTTTTCCATTTTGTGAACTTATCAGGATGCGAATTTCTCGTACAGGGACGAAAGCGATGAGTCTGCCGCACTGGTGCGTATCATAACAGCTCTCGGCGGCCCCGAGCTCTCCCCACAAGAACTTGACTGGGCCATAAGTCTCCCCGCGGGACAAGCTATCGTACAATGGCTCACATTACAAACCACAAACATCTCTAAAGAGGAAGACGTCAATATTATGGATATACAAACACGAGCGTCATTACATCAGATTGCATTACATGCTGAGGAAGCCAAGGAGTTTGCTATATATTCATCGAATCGATTGGCCCGTTTGCTGAGTATATTATCTTAGTATGAACATGATCATCGACGCGCCAAGGGCAACGGCGGAGCACTCGAACACCTTGACGGCTACTCCCCTTGGTTACATTGGCGTGCATACACTACAGTGAGAAGGCAGCCTCGTTACGAGAACTCTGAGTCTAAGCGGTCTTAGCTCGCAAATGGTCAGAAACGAATCAGAAGCTCAGCTGCTCGAGGATGAGATACGCCTTCTCAAACACCGGTTCAAAGGCATCAAGTCGGTCCCAACATCTACATTCCCTCCTTATACTCATAAACAATGCTAGAATGGCATCCAAGCAACTGAATCGGTCGATTGAAGCATTACAACGCTCACGGGGTTCGACTGATGAGACACTACGGCGTCAGCAGGAGCTCTTGGAAGAGTCCTCTATCCATGTAAGCACCTCTCCAAAAGGAAAGACTTCCATTCACAGCGTGCGCCAGGCCGACTCTCTGATCGCCAGATCGAATAGCATCGCTGGGAAGCTCTTGAACGGCGCTATAATCCCCAGTTCAGTCGTGAAGTATTCTTCATGGCTACTGGTTATTCTCACAACTGTCTGTAACAGCGCTGGTCAAGGATGACTCTAGGCCAAGCATTTTAAACCTACGGAAGCGGTTGGCGGATTTGTCTACTCGTCGCACAGAACTTGTCAAGATTGCCCAGGAACGTAACGAACAAATCGTGCAAGCTCACGGTTCGCTGCCGAATGTACTCGAGATTGAGCATGAAACAACTAGGCTACAGGTTCATCTACGAAAATTAAGCTCCAATATTCACGGCCTGTCGTCATCTCAAGCTGCAGCTGGGTCATACTGCACGGAGATGGATAAGATCTGCAAGGAATTAGGAGCCGTCGAAGATTCGCAAAGCAAAAGAGCTATCTTGGAGCGGATAGCTGGTGAAGTCGATACCAAATGCGACAAAGATCACGTAGACGTAAATGAAATTGACGTTATAAGCGAACTGAATCGCGCATGGAAACTCGATCAGTTAGCTTTATTGTCTGCACGGGAAATGATGGCGGATGAGGTGTGTGCGCAAATTTTCACAGTATACTTCGATATACATAGGCGACAAATCTACAGATGAATCTGCACTTGAAACAACAATCATTCTATCCGCTTGAGGAACTACAATCGACACTACTCAAGTCCAGCTCACACGTTTTCGAAACAGAAGCACTCGTCAGTGCATTGACAGAGGAACTTGAGGAAGTTGCAGATGATGCAGAATCCGCCAAACGAAGCAAGCTTCTACATCCAGATCCTGGTGTCTTTTCAGAAAAAGAGGCTGGCCTCGTGGATTTGCTGAAATCAATGCAACGTAGGTGCTCTCATATGTGCTCTCATATATGCTCTATTGCTTCCTATTTTATCAAACTCTGTTCTAGATCTTCGACCACCCGATGCACCGCCACTTGTCCTCCTGAACGAAGAGGATCTCAAGAACGAGATTGACATAATCTCTCGACAGTCTCGTGCTGCATCCCGGAAAGAAATGCAATGGGCGTCCGAGTTGTCCCAACAGATACTATCATTGTATGGATCCCTCTTTACTCACAACTATGATATACTCGGACTGACCATTCTTCAGAACTAACCACCACGCTCCTCTAGTAGCGGCACTCTACGCTAACTCTCCTGTCAATACATCCCCACCATTCATCCCGCCTCGCGATGAACAAGTTTTAGAAGAACAGGCACACCAGACAGCCGACGAGCTAAATGTTGCCGTAGCGAAGTGCCAGAAAGTGGGGTTTAATTATATCAGACTTAGTACTGGTCTGCAGCTGACATGCGACTGGTTGTAGGAGCCCGTGAGCGATAGGGACAAGCAAAAGCTCAACGCTTTTATCGACAAATGGACAAAAGATCGATAGACGGCCTGTACGACTAGTGTAGAAATTACTATGTATGACATTTTCTCAGAGAACAGGGATGTGGCCCTTTTGAAGTGCTACTTCAGCCCCGCAAGCTGTTTGAGTATGCCGGTATGATTGCGCACTGATGAGCACTTGTTTTTACCATTACTTTGACTCTCCATAGGATTGATCCTCGCTGGTCGCGCGCCAGTTAGACAGACGTACAGTCGGAAGAACACCTGCGAAAACATGATCCTGCACCTGCAGAAGCTCTGAGGCCCCGATTTTTTTTTTTTGGTTTCAGGCAAATCGTATTGAGTATTGTAAATGATGTCGGCGGCGGTGTCGGGGCCAGTGGACGCTGCGTGCAATGGTTTTTAGAGTGTCGGCATTTGCCGAAATAGATTACACTCGCCATCGGAAGCGCTAAAGATAGCTTGAATAAAGCATAATCCAAGTTCCCAGTTGAAACTTTCATCGATGAGAAGCCAAGTCCCAAAATGATGAGGCTGACCTTCATCGCTTTGGTTGTCTTCTTGACCCTTCGTACGCGCAGGGTCGCACTTCTTGTTGACAAAACACAGCTCTGAGCTTTGAGCCTTTATCCCACCGGTCGAACACGCAAGAGACTTCGAAGACGCACTCTGTTCGGGGTGGTCCTAATACACCTGTCCGTGTTTTCTTATATATGGTATAGTGCATCGATCAAGCTTCTTCTGATTTGATAAACAGGGTCCCCAATCCGCACACATAAGCTCGCGAAAACGGCGTACAGCTGCAACGCTGTACAGATTTATGTACCATGTACACGTTTATGTTTCTTTTCTCTCGTCATCGAGAAGTCTGAACCAGAAATCTGTGCGCATAGCATGGACTTATCGGCAGGCACAGGTCCCCAAGGACCGCAGCGTGAACATGCAGATGCGCTCTCACATATCCGGAAGGAATCCATGGACACATACAACAGGATCCACTCCATCGCAGAAGACGTCAACTTTGTAAGCGAAATACATGCAGCATATTCAGACCTGCCTGTTCTGCGTGAGCTATCTCTAACTGTGCAGAGTAAAGCCGATCGCATCAGTTGAACATATGCATATTTACTTCCAGCAAATCTCCGTTGCGGTGCTTGGTACGTCGACCCAAAACGAGTATGTCTCCGAAATCTGCCTGTGTTTGGATATCGATCTGACATCGGATATCCAAGGCTAGACAGGAGCCGGCGTATTTCAAGTCGACGGATGGACATTTCGGCAACTGGTCCTTCAACTTAAGGCGACCTAATCTGCACTTACTGTCTGTCGTGGTCGCGGAAGGAGGGTGAGTCGGGAGAGTCCATCTGTGATAATTGGACTGACAAAGGGGAAAACCAGACTCCTTATTGTCGATTCCACACGTTCCGGGAAGCGAATCCCCGATGCTCTGTCAAAAACGGTGCCGATTTGGTGTGCGGTAATCAACCGTGCCGTTCGCCGAAGATACCCAAGTCCTGAGAAGCAAGATTGGGATCTTCAGTTATATTGTCCGCCCGTCGCCGTCAGTGAGCAAGAGCGAGTTCAGATCGAAGCAAAGCTTGAAGGATGGGTAGATGCACTTCTTGTGGGTCTCCAAACAATGAGCGATTGTGTGTACCTGATGAGCGGCGACCCTTTGCCCAGGGATCGTCCTATATCATCTCGGACATTGCGCGTCCTCTCAGGCCACTCTGGATCACACCATCAACCTCGGTTCTCCCTCATTCATCCCCAGACACCCTGCAATTCTATCCCATAGTGTGCGTTTCGGCTTCGAAACCAATCCACGAGGGGCTTGAGCGACGCGCAAGCGGGTTTGTGTATATTCAAGGATCTGGCGACGATCACGAACTATGGGGCAAGGCAAGACCCTTTTTCGTTTTACGATGATGCCATTCCTGACAATAGGGCACAGGGTCTTACCCCACAGCTGTTCTGGAACAACAAAGATATGCTCTTGGGCGCAGCTAGATCACAACTTCCTGCATTGGTCGATTCACTTGTCACAGCCTCTAAAGGTGTTGCTACAGCTAACAAATGGACGACAAAGCCGACGCCGATCTCCAAAGTGGGCGGCATGATCTTGATCACCTCAGTCTCAGATCTGCCATCACCCCTGCCCCGCAACTTGGATGGTTCCGTAGAACGGCTCTCGTTCGTTATGATCGCCTCTGCGGTGCCGAGCAATCCTGGATCGCTGACTGCCACGGACAGCGAGAGCATTCTTCGCCTACACCTTTCGGAAGGAAAGAAAGACCAGCTGTACTACCTCCAGCACATTCTCCCCCGCGCAACGAAATTTATTGGTTCCCAACTGGCGAAGGGTGTACCAGTTTGCATCTGCTGTGAGCATGGCACCGACGCTAGCGTGGGTGTTGCTGTGGCTGCAGCTCAGCTGTATTTCGACGACGAAGGTCGCTACTTGCAGTCTCGCGAAGAACAGACTACATTGCGTACGTTATCTCCACCTTCCACAGAATGTTTGGGTATATTCATGGTCAGTACAATTACAGGAAATGCTGCGAACAAACAATCTATCAGCAAACGGCTACAATGGATCATTTCTAGTAGACCACAGGCGAATCCCTCGCGCACCACACTCAAACGTGTGAACGAATACATCCTGTCTTCGCCCTCCTTCCGTCGCCCGCATGATGTCGACCAGCAGTCGTGATGTGGGTCATACGATCAGGCACAGTACGTATATCTTCAGTATTTCTCTGCTACAGAAACCTTAACTGCGATTGTGCTGTAGACCAATAATTTATATGCCCTTTGAACTCCCGGATGATATGTCGACGGAATGCATAGATACGTCCCCGGTTGCAGAGTGACGTGCGGAGTGACCACTCCGGCTAGGGCGTCGGAATAGGGCCCCGAGGTTGCGATGAGTGCACCGCCCATAGACCTCGGGTGGAAAATTGATACGTTGACGGCGACACGCGGTGCAGAGTCTGAAAGTTGCAAGCGGATCCTGGAGGAGATTGGGGACATTAGTGGGAGAGATAGTACTAATTTTTGGGCACACTTCAATTGAGTAGGGGCCTCCAATTGTATTTCATATGCCGGATTTGTCGCGTACTTCCTCGAGCTTGGCCCTCCGCCCGCATTCTCGATAGTCCTGGCAGTCTGTCAGTGTATGCATCTAGCATTCCAAACGTGAGCTCTCACCAAGCGTCACGGAAGACTCTGCTGAACATGCCTGCACCCTCCTGAGGTATAGGCACAAGCTCGAAGCGGAAGGGGCTGTTAACGCGCAGTTGAAATGATCCTTGGTGATGCGGCTCGAAGGTAGACGCGATGAGAGTATAATCGCCGACTGAAAGGACCATACATGAGTACAGGTTGGACCAAGCTATTTCAGATGGCATACCTTGCAGGTCTTGGGAGATATGTGAATAGCCGTAGCTATATGGGCCCGACGTTGCTGCAACCTCGTTGTGTCCCATCCTGTAAACACGTTAGTGAGGAAAGCATGGGCATGGGCTTGACGAACTCTGTGATCCGCTCCCCTTGCGACCAAACCAAGGACAAGTTCAAGGGCACATCCCGAGGGCCTTGAAGAACCACCGAAGTAGGTGCTTTGATGTTGCCGCCATTATTTGTGCGTAGACTCTTGTCCGGAAAGAGTCTGAGATGATATTGTGGATTATCCATGAAAGTGGGATAGCTGTGGTTGCCTCCAGCAGTTTTCGAAGTGAACGCGCCATCAATCTGATGAGGAATTAGCTCATAAATTGCATTCATGAATAGTGTTTACTCACTTCCTTCGTGTTCATCGCTTCAGGAATATCCTCCACCCACGATATGTTCGTGTTGGAATAGGCCGTGACGGTGAAGCCAACGTCGTTGAAATGACCGTCGTACGCGGCGATAATATTTAACACTGGATCAGCGGCTGTGACCTGTACCCGAACCTATAAATCACTCAGTAAGTAATTAATATATTTCTATCACACAAGACTCACAAGTGTATGGAGACTGTTGGTATATTCGCCCTATACATCCACCAGAATGAGCTTGCAATGTAAGCCTCTCATGCAAGGTGCATACCTTCAATCCCATAGCAGCGACGTCAATAGGCATTGGGCCAGAATCATCATCATTGTTCACGAGCAAAGAGATATACTCCGAAGTCCGCGAAGTGTCGACTGCGTGGCGCGAAAGCTGTAGCCAGAGCGCCTGCCCACCCTGTATCGCCTGATCTATATGCGCGCGCAGTTGTAGTCGAAAGTAGGACGCTAGAGATGCGACGGAGAATCAGCTGTGAGTGCGTAATGATTGGATGACATACAAGTTCTGTTTTCCTCCTCCAGACTCGGTGATCTGGCTTTCCACGTGCCGTGGAAACGAATGTGTCTTCGGAAAATGCCTGGATCCCAACTCAGATATACCCCGTCAAAGATATTACAAACCGAATCCCACGGGAGATCGAATGTTTCTGTTTGTCAAGAATCAGGCGATGGATTCTCACAATAATCGTGTGTGTGTGTACTGACTAGATGAGTCCGGTCCCGTCTGAGTAGATGTAGACCCGTCATTAGCCACATAGCCGTCCTGGTCGCTTGGCTCATCGTGCAGCCAGGAATCGAGAATAGTCAACTGTCGTCGACCATGGTCATTTCGCACATCTTAACGGATATTTCTCTGACGTAAGCAATGCATGCAAGCGCTACGACATGGAGGGCTCACCGATTACAGCATAACAATGCGTGGGTATCAAACGTAGTGAGGGCTCTAGTGGTGCTATCACCCCATCGCCCGTGCCTACGGTGAGCAGACAATATCCTATGTCGTCCAGGTCATCATCTCACACTGACGCCATTAGTCGCACAGAAATGACAAACCTTTCGAGAATCCATCAAACAGACGAGCCCATAGCCGCTCTCGTTGAATATTCGCACTGACGTGCAATAAGTATCGAGGTCACTGTAGACAACGTTAAAAATACCTCCTAAGGTCCAGAGGTTCTGGTATCCATCCGGTAAGAGCACTACAGGATCAGAGCGAATATGAGCAGGATGCTGTCAAGCGAACGCAGCACATATCCTTACTGTAGATCTACACAGGAATTTCTAGCGGACAGGGAACCCCTGAGACCATGTGGGATTGGTAAAAGAAGGAACACGTACGATCCGGGAAAATCATATCCACCCATTAGCTTCATGTACTAAACAGTCGGTCAGGCACATGCTTCCAAGCCATCAGTTGAGTAAGAACTAACAGCTTTCTCCATTAAAGAAGGCCATATCTGGTGCTTGGAACCCGTGCTAGCACACATTAGGCGTCCGTCGGGATATGTCGGCAATTGGTCATCGATAGCTGTAAGAATCAACTTGAGCGAAATATAGTCAAGACATCATTATCAACTCACTAATCTGTCAAATCGGAATAGTACGTCATGTGTGAGTTTGGAATTCGGAATTCACCTCGTTCAGAGACTCACGCGACGATAGGCTCCATTGAACAAAATGCGAAAATGATAGACTCCATCCTGCGAGTGATATGGTTGATGATCCGATATGCGAGGATGCAGGTTGAGCAGCCCGATCTAGTTAGGCGACCCGAGAAGAATAGGTGAATGTCGCCTCGCAAAAAGCATGAATACATACCCTTGATTGAAAGCGACTATGATGAGAAACACAGACGGAGAGCGAACCACAAACTGAGCAGTCGGTAATAATGTGTTGGAGAATATCTTGGGGTAAAATGGGCGGAGATGCTGAATAGACTGGTGCCCCATCCTTTCTATGCCATTCTGCAGAATGACGTTGCTGTTCCGCAGAAAGCTTAGGCTGCCTGAAGACGAATACGTGGTGTGCACCATGCAGATACGGGAGAAAATGAAGCAATTTACCCCACATCGTCCCCAGTGGATTTGTCTTCGTCCCACAGAGGGATGCGAACATTATTAACAAACGAAGACTTCCTCAAGACGTAAGACTGCTCGTCTGCAACAGCCAAGAAGCTCGTCATCAATGATAAAGCAGAGAAGGTACTACTATACACACGCTCAGAGAAGTAGTTCTTGGCGACTGGAGACACGTCGGGTTTAATATGTTTAATTTTCTCCGCACGTTCTAAGGCTTTATTTGCCTCGTTTTTGCAAGCCGCACGGAGTCTTGCATCGTGGCACACCTGGCCGAGATGCACGAAATCCTCTGCAGCTTTGATATACAGACGGAACGCTCGATCTAGATCGCGCTGTAGCTCAGCCTTGGCAGCGTTGGAATACGTATCCTGCGCCAAGAAGATTGTGGTAAAATGATAGGCACCGAACGGGATGCACGACATGTGCGCACCTCCGCCTCCTGAAACATTAAATCTGCTTGGTTGGACGGGACCCACGGCATACTCTCACAGGGGAGCTGCCTGAGGCGGTATCTGCAGGTACCATTAGTTTATGTGTCCAAGACGCAAAATTGCATGTTGTGAAAGATCACCATCCATGTACCGGCGGTCCGACGATCGCTGGAGATCTGCCGTGTGATGGCCACGCTCCGACCACACCAATGTGGAGATGAAAATCAGCCTGACTTGTTTCACAGCGGGCGATGCAGACTCGACCACGCTCAGCATGCGCAATCGGGGGCGGACTCCAACCGTGGTCGTAGACAACATTTAGGACGGACCCGAGGCAGGCGAGGCAGTGCTCTGCACTGCCGCATCTCGCGTGTCCATCCACGTGTTCAGCGCGACGCGGTCGACATTCGCACTCATGTACGTCCAACACAAGCATAAACAATTAAAACATACTAAATACGTCGTCCCTCAGCACTAAAATACAAAGCAGAGGCGTCATTACAAAATCAGTCCGTTCGAATGCTATAGCTACAAACGATGAACGAGTGGCCGTAGGACTACTACACAAAGAGCAGAGATAATAATAAAAAATATAGCATGTCCGAGGCTCAGATTACGAAAACTGACACACGCCGCAGCTGCCTGCAGCTTTCAGCGCAGTCCCTTGCATATCACAGTCCTGCAGGTCGCTCAGCGAGCAGAACGAGCCCGACACGCTGCCGCTCAGCTGGGTGTTGTTCGCAAGCGTCAACAACTCTAGTTTGGCTGGGAAGGCGGTCGGAAGGGGGCTGGTCAAATTGTTATTGTCTAGATGCAGCTCGACAAGCGAGCTGAGCGAAGATATCGTCGCAGGGATCGTCCCAGAGAGGGTCGTCGTCGACAGATCGCTGCAGAGAGTACGAATTTAGCGGACGCAGGAGGAATAAGACAAACTCAAAACTCACAGCAATTTCATGGCGGAACGGAACGAGGTACTGTTGACAAATACAGACAAAGGATTCTGCAGTGCCTGGTTTGTGACAACACTAGATGCAAGAGAGAGTAAACGCCATGACGGGCTGTCCGCAACAAGGAGACATACAGATTCTGCAGCGGCAGATCAGTCAAACTCGATGGCAAAGTCGACCCCATCTGCGCATTCTCGCTTAGAGTCAACGTCGTGATGTTCTTCAGCGACGTGAAAAGGGAATTGGGAAGCTGAGTGATCGCCGTTGATTGGAACTCGAGAGTGGACAGCGCAGTGAGATTGGTAAACGAGGTAGGAAGAGCGCCAGCTAGAGATATTTGACCCTTAGTTCGACAAGACTTGCAACACAGACTCGACACGCGACTCACCTGGCACTTCCGTGTTGCCCACAATTTGAAGGGTCTGAAGACCAGTGAGCCCGCCTATCTCTTCAGGTATGACTGTTGGGACAGCCGGGAACGTCAGTTGCCTACCAAACTATTGTTAGCCTTGTTTCCAAAGAAGAATTAGCACACTTACAATGATGTTACTTTCCCGCTTGTATTACACTGCACGCCGGTCCATCCACAAAACTGCACGCTCTGCATCCAACCCCCGGTGGTCAACTGATTCTGCCCAGTAGAATCAGCCTCCACGAACATGCTGCGGAGCGAGCAGAACTGAATCGCATTGGCGATTTCCTGCGCATCCTGAGTGTGCGCGTCCAGATAACTCTCAGAGACGCCCTGCAGCACCGAGAAGCACGTCGAGCACGGATAGAGTGTGGTATTCGCCGGTGCATTGATGTTGAACTCGGACAGACAAAGCTGCTCGTCTGCCGACAGTGTCGTAGCGGTCGACGAGCCAGAACTAGAGCTCGGCGAAGTAGTGGTTAACGGGAACGTGCGAACGTTCAGCGCGGCGGTGTTGCCAATCAGGTACAACAAGACGATGATAAGGAGGATGAGGAGGATGCGATCGCGCTTCCGTTTCTTCCTCTGCCCTGGGCAGTGTTCGCAACATTGCGGCGCACGCTTCTCGATGTGGAGTGGAGGCCATGCAGGGAGTCGTTCAGGCTGTACGGAGACGACATCGGGATCCTGGTCGTGCTTCAGGGTGCGCGCCTTGAACAGCATCCCAGTCAGCCGATCGAGCAAACCTGGCCGCCGCACAGTACCGGATTCTACATCCTTCTCTGATTCGACCGTGATGCTGTCTGCCCACGTCGAGCGTGTACCAGTCATGAAGTGTGGAGGTTTTGACGAGTTAACAGTCGTGGTCTGGGGATTTGACGCACGATCCCAAGAGAAGCGGAAATCAGAGAACATTAGGTAGGTTGAAGACGATGGTGATGGTAGAAATAAAGGTTGAACTGTTCCATGTCGCCTCGAAATTGTCTTTTTTCTTGTTTTAGGACCCAGTGTCGCTAACCGAGGACAATAGCGCGCTGCTGGGCATTGTTATACTCGAGCACGTGATCGTATTTTTGCCTATTGTAGTAATACTTACCGGTCCTACCCTTGGACCGCCAATTATTCAAGCCACAATCAACTTCAACTATGCCGCTTGAAAAGCTGAAATCATAACTGTTCTGCTTGACAGGTGGAAAAAATCAGACAACATTTTAATGCATAAGTGGAGTACGATCGGTGGATACGCAGTGTATTAACGGCGCTTATTGACGCAGCGGATCATGTCGTGAACTGAAAACAGGCGGAGTGTTTGCCGTGAATGCTGCAGCACATCTAAATGTCTTAGCTGTCCAAGACATGAGGTGTATCTACTGAAGTTATTATCTGGGAGTCTAACGTGAATTGCAGAGCAGCGCAACGATTCTCACATCTAAGGGTCGCCGATTTGAGCTACTGGCCAGAATACAAACAGCTCATTCCAAACCAAGTGCATGTCGTCAAATAAAACCCAAACCAAGTCCTGACTCACAACTCAAGGCGAAGACTTAGAATACAATACTCAAGTCGCAAGACATCGTTGCAAAAATTCTGTGCAATTATAGACAGACGTGAAGACGAAATCACTGCATCGACTGCCACAGATTGTGTACATATAAAAATCGAATCCGCCATGTCCGTCTAGTAGCCAGCGGCTCCTGGAGCAGAGTCTCCCTCCCGCTTGAGGCGTAACAAGACCTCCTTGAAACGGGAGAGATCGGTGGTGCCAGGGCCCGCCCGGGCAACAGTTTTGCTCTGGGAGTTCTGCAACTCCACCAGATCACAGATGCGCTGCCAAGTCGTGCCGTTCGAAAGCGACTCGGACATAGATGCCAGAAATTCCTCCTCATGCTCCCTGTGCGCCATTTGATGTCAATACTAAGACACCCAGATGACAAAAGTGACCGTACTTGTTCTCTCGGATGTTTCGCTCCTTCTTAGCAGAATACTCCTCGTAGAATTGATCAATCGCACGCTCCGCTTTGGAAACAGTATCCTCGCGCTTTGCCTTGGAAGCTTCGTCGCGTGCTTTCATTTCTGCAGCTTGCTTTTCACGCCAATCCCTGAGATGTTATGAGAAAAACATGCATGCACTCCTCGTTGATACTCACTTGATTACTTGGGGCTCATCCTCTTCAATTGTCTGGTTCAATATTGGCGTAGACGAGAATGCGGACGACTGCGGTTTAGGTGCGAAGGTCGGGGCAGAATATGATGGTAAAGCGGCGGGTGGTGACTAAAACGAATACACCCCAATCAGTGTGTAGGTTGAACTTGCACACAAAGCACATGCATAACCAGTATACACACCTGAGGCACCTCAATGTCGGGGAACTCATTCTCAAATTTCTCAATCTCATCGTCACCGGTGACCTTCACCTCCGTCGTTCTGGGGGGCGGAGGACTCGAGAAGTCATCAAAGGAGAAGCTTGAGGTCTTGACTGGTGCAGCAACAGAGGGTGAGGGTATGTCACCAATCCCGTCTAGCGAGATATCCGGAAATGCGGATGCCGCACGGTCGAAATCAATGTCGCCACCAGCTGTCGCATATGTACCGCCAGTTGGAGTCCCTGTGAACTCCTCACCTAAGAGCTCACTTTCGCGCGTAAGGAAGTCGGCCATGGTCGTCGTAGAGCGTTGCAAGTATGACAGCAAGATGGATTAGGCTCCCGTTCATACGTCTTCCCATATACGGACCTAGCCGTTGCCTTAAAATTGATTTTCCGTAAGTCAATTAAATAATAATCCATTATTCTACTTGTACATTAACGTCATAGTGACCACATTCAATACGAGACCGATCGACCTCGTACATATCCCCCCTCACTCGAATCGACTAAATTCACTGGAGATGTCAGCGGAAACTGCAAATTTCTCAGCGAGCTCTTTCCGGGCGGCTGAGGGGGCGGTGATGGTGTTGGCGATGGCATGCCTGTTCCTGCGAGGGTCGCTTGCTGGTCTGCCGCTCTCCGCCCTTGCTCCACCGCGGCGTCAAGAGCATTTTTAAGAGGCCCTCCATCCAAGAGGTGTCGCTCGATAACCATATGCTCCATTTCCTCTGTAAGTAAGTCTATAACTTCATCAGCAGGATTTTCGCATGGGGGCAAGTGTGCAAGTGTTGCGCCCGTTGGCTGAGTGCATGTTTTTGGCCCATGTACCGCATGCAGTTCTGCTTGTATTTGCGTATGTACTGTGCACAACATACAATTACGTAAGATTCTGCGAATCAAAGTAAAGAGTGGCCTACCATCACGGTTCAATAATCCCGCGAGCATCCTGATTTGCTCGAGGACACCGTGCAATCTTCGGAGATCAGTGCTATCGTCTTGTGGTGGGTAGAGGACAGGAGCCACTCTCGAGAGTGCGATAGACAAGGACGTGAAGAGGGAATGCAGGAAGCGCACATGCTGATAAGCGACCTTTTCTGGCCAGAGCCAACCGAAGATGCTGCTGTTGTTTGATGATCCGGAAGTGGTGAGAAACAATGAAGGCAGTGATATTGATGTTGTAGATGTGGAGGGACTCAATATTAGCTTGAGTTCATACGCGAAGACGGCAGCGAACAACAGATAGCGCCACTAGATGTGCAAGCGTGCTCAACAAATTACTATAAGCACAAACACGGAATGACTCACGAAAGCCACGTAACTAGGTTTGCCAATAGATGAGATCAGGAAAAGTAAGCATAACGAAGCGATGTAGAATCCAGCAGACTGCATGAGTCCATGATGGACATATTCTCGCAAAGTTGAACAATGCGTCCACTGCATTGCACTTGGGCCGAACCTTATAGCCTGTCAAAGATATAGATAACTGGAAGAGCATGCAAGAACAAACCTATCATATGCAAAGCGTGTTATCGGATTCTTGAGCTTCTCGAATGCATCCCGGACCTCCATGAAAACCTCTTCGCCATCAGGGCCAGCGCGATCAGGATGGTTCTTGCGCGCAAATTGTCGAAAAGCTAACTTCAATTCGTTCTCGTCTGCCATTGGCTTGGCTCCCAAGAGCTCGTAATAATTTGGCTGCATTGAGCTAACGGCTTGCTGGAGGTCATATAAGAGGTAGGCTGTCACTGTAAACGCATAGACATATCGAACGTGCTGTTTGTACAGTGGGGTATTTGGAGCCGGGACAGGGCGATGTAGAATATTTTGATACAACTGGTGGAACACGGGAAGCAGCCTAGTGGTGATCAAGTTTGGAAGTATAGACCAGCCAACAAACGAGAGAACGGAATTCAACATCGTCCCAAAGCCGGTGTGCAAACCTGTTGAGAGAAATTGTAAGCTATGTGCAAGAAGTTTCTGTGGTTCACAGAGATACAATCGACGCTCAGAGTGGGGTAGTCCCACTTTACATTCTGATCTCCTCTCCCTAGCAAGCGCAGAACACGTTATCCTTTGATGATACCCGTGCCTACTACTTTTACGCATAGAACCACACGCTTGAGCAAGTTTCTATGGCCCAAACGCTTATAGCCATGCGCGCCACTTTCGCGTGGACACCTTTGCGTTCGTGAAAAATCCACATCTAGAGACCACCTGCAACGGAGTAGATCTCATCCGTACAGGCTCGACTATTCGAACGAGGACATACACAACCATAACTCCTATAGCGATAAAAGAACAAGAGCTAGGTTGGTGACATCCGTTGTGGACTCGACCTTTGCTCACAAGCCTTTAGCCTTCCGGCCATGCAAGCCATTGTTAGAGTCGATGATACAAAACAATGTTGGTCCGGCCTTAAGGCGTACCACGGTTATCTCCTGAAGTGGCACGTCGGGTTTCGAACACTTCGAGGGCTCAGGTATCAAGAGAAAGGTCCGTGCCTGCTCGCTAAAGTCGACCCTTTTACTTGGGCATCCTCGCGTTCATGAAAAAAAAGGATGTTTTACAACTCACCGATTGAAAGAGTCTGGAAGATGAGCGCAGAAAAGAAAGGAAGCTCTTCAGAGTTCAGAAAGCTTAGTGGGCTGGAAAGGGTGTCATGACGTGAACAACGAAGGAGGATATGGAAGCGTGGAGAGTCAAGCCACAAAGACGCTTCAGACTCGTGGAGTTACGTATTTTGGGTTACCATTTCCATAAGTATTTCCTGATATCATTGTTTCCCACGGACCCTTCGCCTGCTGCTTGTAACACGTCGCCTCGAGAACGTGCAGAGCGTGAACTTGTTGTTAAACCGCCTACGTCTGCAACTGGCTTGCCACAACATTCTGAGCCATGAATTTGTTTCGGCTGTTCGGTAACACGTCCCGTTCTGCAGCTTTCGGTGTAACTGACCTGTTGAGCAGGGGACATGTCCCATTTGGCATCCATACTCATCTTGTTGCACAAGATTCAAACAACGCGATCATGTCGAGGTGAGGTTGTCCTGACCAGTTGCCGCGCACTTATTTGCTATGCAATGAGCCAAGAATTACCGCTTACCTTTTCGTACGGTCTCATAGGCATTTCCTTCAAGACGCAGGCACTTTATGTCGCGGTCTTTGTCTCTCGCTATCTTGACTTGTTCTACGAATGGGTTTCGCTGTACAACTTCGTGATGAAAATATTCTTCATCTCAAGTAGTTGTTATATCCTCTACTTAATGAAGATCAAGTACCGGTGAGTTGGACCCATGGTGTCCGATGACCCTGCTGACTTGTATTCTTGATTCCACTGGTGCGTTTTCATGCTGCACCATTTGGGTCCTGGATAATATATATAGACCAACTAATGACCCATCAATCGATACCTTCCGTGTGGAGTATCTCGTTGGACCCTGCGCCATTCTTGCCCTCATCTTCCACTACAAATTTACCATCTCGGAGTTACTTTGGTCGTACTCCATATTCCTTGAGGCCGTAGCTATATTACCGCAACTTTTCATGCTTCAGCGCACGGGAGAGGCAGAGACAATCACCACTCATTACCTTGCGGCGCTTGGCGCGTATCGGGCCTTCTACATTCCTAACTGGATATACAGGTACACGCAAAAACCTGACTTTATAAGATTTCTATTCAGACGGCTTTTGCTTATAGGTACTGGTCGGAGGATCTGGTTGACCCTATCGCCGTCATAGCAGGTATCGTTCAAACTGCTTTGTATCTGGATTTCTTCTACGTCTACTTTACGAAGTACGTGTTCGAATCTCACGTTCTCGGTACACGCTGACGTGTCTTTTTTCTGCGTCTTCTCGTGACCTACCTTGCACTCTTGCACTGCAGAGTCCTCCAGGGAGAGAAGTTCGAGCTACCTGCGTGAATTGTATATTTGAAAAGTAATGCACCTGGACTGTCTACTTTATTATACGTGTCATGTTTTTTTATGTGTGGTCGGCCTCCGACGTGTCTCCCAATGGCCGTGAGAAAGAATCGAACCGATGAATAGACCGGACGAGCGCCGAGCTAGACGCTTCTCCGAACTGTTCCCCGACTGCTCGAGCTCAGTGTGAACAAGACTTGCTGCTAGTTTACAACAGGCTGTACTTCTAGTTGACCGCACATTCATTTCATTCACTGGTACCTGGCCTGGTCATGTTGCTGAGCTGTTTATTTCTCTGGTTGGGCTTACTGCCGTTTGGTACTCTTGCTGTGCTGGACAACAAACTGGGGAACCAAACCATTGAGAGGGTGAGAGTACATTTCTAAGGCTGTCGAGATTGCCTACGACGATGTAGCCTGAATGAGTTTGGGCGCGTCCTCAAGGCTGCTTCGGTAGGCCCCAAGACGTGGGTTGCCAAAGTCAAATGTTCGTGTACCTGCGGTCGCCATGCTACAGCGTAAACGCTAGTTGCCTGTGCCGTATAGAACGAAACCTTTCTTGTATGACTGTTGTCGCGAAATTTGAGGAAACTATAAAGCTGATCCCTGTTCGTGAAACACTGATACTGGTCTAATTCAGTTTATAAGACTCATGGGTCTTTGCCTTACTCGTACTTGATATTTTCTTCGGTCGCTGCTCACCATGGTATCGCAGACAATTCAACTCCGTACGCATTCGATATATGCGCCATACATTGACCAAGACTTGCAAAATCGGTACGCACGTATGTTGGCCGTCCATCGAACCACTTAGCTTATATATATTTGCTTTATAGGTGGTGGGATTTTGGCGCGGATGCGTATATTGCGAGTGGAATTTTCGAATAGTATGCTCACATTCAAGCTCACCGGGAGCCGTTTGGCGACTAGAACACCAACAAGCACATACGATTAACGCGCAACCGTCCCTCACAAATGGTACTTACATTATGCAAGCTGCGTATGATCTTACTTCCTGACATAGAGATGTAGGGATGGCTGTGGTCCCGTATACCACTGACAGCAAACGCATTCGTCGTCGAAGTCGAGTTTAAGGTTTGATGTTGTAGGATCAAGAAGTCTCCGCATATTCAAGCTTTTGCAACAGATCTCTGGCGAATCTAGTCACTTGTATGGCGACGGACTTGCCCTTTGGCTTACTACGACTCGAGCTCAGCCTGGACCTGTCTTCGGCAGTATTGGCAGGTAATTCAGCTTGGCGTGTGTGGTCCTCGCTAACATGGACCGGGGTGATTAGATCGATTTGAAGGGCTTGGTGTATTCCTAGACACGTATGCAAATTGGGTTAAATTAGCACCGACCTTTATTGACGTATTGGCTTAGGTACGCTAACACACGTCACTCATATTCCTTCCCGCGTGTAGTCGGTATGCTCGGTGATGGTAGAACGGCGTATGACCAAGAGGGTGATGGGCAGAAAGATAGCATCGGTGGTTGCTCCGTATGTGTTTTTGCTAAGGTCCCGGAGCTGTTGTTCATTTTGTCTGTTTTCAGGCCAATTATCGCCGTACGAATGTAGCCACAAAGCTTCGAGTAACTTACGTTAAGGACTCATATCTGAACGTACGCAACGCTGCTCTCTTAAGATTGTGCACCTAAATAAAGTTTGTTTTACAGGTCAAAGTCCAGTACAGAGCGTGGGATGACTGGGTGGAATGTTTTACCATTGAGGGCATCAGTCTTCCGTCTGCGCCATACCTTGGCTTCTCCTCTATGACTGGCGATGTATCAGACAATCATGAGTGAGTTGTCATTGAGGTATCCCGTCTTCTGCGACTAACATCTGCACCTCGTAGCATCATCAGTGTCGCAACTTATTCTACTGTTCTGTCCAGCCCCGATAGGCAACGCGACCAGCTCAAGGGTAGCCCTATACCTGCCGCGCCGGCATGGATCTGGACCGCACTCAAATGGGCGGGCGTTCTGGCTGTACTAGCTGGATTGCTATACACATACAAAACGTACGTCCTCTCGCGAGCCTCTGGACGAGGCTTTGGGACCACTTTTATGGGTAAGGCCGGTGGGCCTGGGTTTGGAGCGGGGATCTACGGGGACGCGAAGAGGTTTTAACGACGCCATCTGGTCTTTTAGCTTGCTATATATTGATTTTCTTAGCTACAATCGCATGTGAGTGATAGTTGCGAAGTCAGGCAGCTCACGAGTCGGTTGAATCATGTAAGAATCTTTTTTGGTGCGCGACAAGTCCTAGCATTTGATCTCTCGTCGGTCGGCGCACCGTTGGAATATGACTATACCAGTGTCGGAGATGTAGACTGTATGTTATTGTCGGCGCGCTCCCCCTTCTTCACAACACATTGCAGTTCCCCTAGTCTTCCTCGTTGACGATGGTGATAATGATTGACCGGATCATTGAATGCGGTCAAAGTCACTGACCTTGGACTGACCCTAGGTCTAGCCAAAAGCCAGTCTCCTGTAAGTAGAATCAACATATACTTCCTTCAACCCAGCTTCGCTCAAGATGCAGACTCCAAATATTCGTGCTGTCAAATGCAATATGGTCAGACTCGTGGCGTACAGTAACATAGGCGGTATCAATTATATGACAGAAATCAAATTCAGCATTAGCGTAAGTCAGCAGTCAGTATCATTATGGGTAATTATACTAGTATGTTCCATCCCATCCATGTAGAGTCATCATGATGCATTATGAACTGCGGTGCAGCCCGTGACAGCGTCCCCCAGCCA